AGGGAGGGAATTCATACACTCAGAGAGAGAAACTGAGATACCCAATTCCTTTCAGGTAATCCTTACTTTCTAGAGAACTGAGACAGCAATAAAACATTTAGGTAGCACCCTGAAAGGCTCCATAAGAGAGACAGAAAGTGATACGATATGCGAATAGGTGAGGACAAGGGCTCCACAGCTGACACAGGTGGGGACCGAGTCTGAATTACCTTGCAGTGAAATATGGAGATCATCGATGCCCAAGGAAACCGGTTCATCTTCGGTGGGAAGCCCAGGACCGGATGCCATCCTTCAGCTCAGTGAGGATTATATCATGTCCGTCTCAGTTAAAGAAGTGAACTAAAAGTAAAAGGATAAGTGTTTATTAATAACTCTCAGTTCTGCATTTCCTGTAAACATGCAACACCAGAGAAGAGCAGAAACCAAAACTGCCCTCCGAAAGCAGCAGTCTTCTGGTGAGTGCTGCCTTCGCTCATGAGGAACAAAGTGCCTACGCCTTCTTTTTTGAATCATAATCAAGATTTTGCCCTGTGACCTATTCATGCTCACTGGAGCCGCTGGCTGAACTCCAGGGGAGGCAGCACTGTGGATTCTGAACTCGTGGTGGAAAGAAAAGCTACGCAGTTAGACTCCACATACGGTCTAGAGGAAGTCAAGTTGACACAAACTGGTATCTTAGGTGCTTTTGTGTATTTTATTGTCAACCTTCACGTGCGTGACTCTGCAAGGATTTTCTTTAAAACTTTTTATTTAATTTAATTCCTCATCTTCTCCATAAATGTTGCAATTTACTGGAAACAGTAAGAGCTGACTCTGCATAGCTTACAAAGTGAAACTAAAAAAACTATATCCAAAAGAATGTTTTCATGGGTTATCCATTAGGTTGAATTATTTTCCCACGTACTTGTCTTTCCACCTACACATTTCTCTCTTTACCCCCACTTTGACTCTTGAAGAATCCTTCCAATATGAGTGATTTTTACTCTGCAACTCCTTAACAGTATTGCTTCATGTATATGAGCCCCTTATTAGTATCCTGGAGGCTAAGAATAAGACACTGACTTCTCCCATATGGATGATGACTTTCCCATCAAAATAAAACTAACCAAATATATAAAAATATAAAGTGTATTAGAGAATAGAGGGATGGATAAATGTACAGATATGTGGTCAAGATTAACGGTAGAACCTATGTGTTGAGTATATGGGTGTTCACTGTAAAAAATGTTTACCCTGCTATATATTAGAAATTCTTCATAATAAAATGTTGGGGGGAACTAAAAAATATATAAACCTGAGAGCAACAGCTAGATACAATCATATTAAATACCCAATTGACCATTTAAAAAAATGCAAAGAATAGCCCGGCCAGGAGTGGCTCAGCAGTTGAGCATCCACCTACGATCCAGGAGATCGAGGTTCGGTTCCCAGTCAGGGCACATGCCCGGGTTGAGGGCTCGATCCCCAGTCGGGGATGTGCAGGGGGCAGCCAATCAATGACTCTCTCATCACTGATGTTTCTATCTCTCCCTCTCCCTTCCTCTCTCTGAAATCAATAAAGATAAATTTTTTTTTTAAATGCAAAGAATCATTAAACAGTTAATGCTACAGCCAGACTTAAAAAATCTTTCAGTCCTTTCTTCCCCCATTCTGTTTAGTATCCAAAACCCTTTTTTAAAAAAAACACCAAAAAAATTATATATATATATCTCTCTTTATTGATTTGGGAGAGAGGAAAGGAGAGGGAGAGAGAGAGAAAGTTGAAACATCAATGATGAGAGAATCATTGATCGGCTGCCTCCTGCACACCCCCAACAGGGGATCCAGCCCACAACCCTGGCATGTGACCTGACTGGGAATCAAACCGAGATCTCCTGGATCCTAAGTCGATGCTCAACTGCTGAGCCACACAAAACCCTTTTATTATCTTTCCCACAGATCACTGTTGTTAAAGATTTTACCTACCAAATAAACTGCTTATTAACTGATAATTGTTTTATCCCCTGAATTAAAATGAGTCAGAGCCTGCCTGAAGTAAGTGTTACTATACTGAGTTGATAGGATTCTATCCAAAATAAAAAGCCATTTGTTAGTTCGAGTGAGCCTGTGCAACCTGAAGACCGATAAAGGCACAAAGGTTGTCAGCTTTCAGTGTACCAAGGACCTCCACTCCCCCTTCCCACACCCAAGGGCTCCTGAAACCCACAGTGAAGACAAAGCACGTCTTCATCACGCCAGGAGGAAAACTGAATTCCACAGTGCATTTCCTATGGGCACCCTGTTTTCCATGTCAGGGCTATTTAAACAAACAAAGGATAGTCATAACAGTAGCAAATGCTTTTATGGCACTTACTATATCTAGGGTCTGTTCTAAGGACTTTGCATATATAACCTCATTTAATCTTTATAACAACTCTATGAGGTAAATACTGTAATTAGCCCCATATTTGAAAAGACAAAACTGAGATGCACAAATGTCACATACAATTGTCTAAGGACACACAGCTAATAAGAGCTGGAGCTAACATTTGAACCAGCTGGTTCTGGTTTCAGACTTCATGCTCTGCAGTCTGGACCAATACAAGCTGGTACCTCATAAAGCTAGCTACGACCTTACCAGGTTTCATGTGTTCCTTTTCCCTTCATTTACTCAACAAGCATTTACATGTGCTAGGCCCTGCTTTCAAGGAATTCAATCTTCTGTGAAAGACAAATGAACAGAACATTTAGCGAAATCCTCTCAGAAATGTATGTAAAAGGTGCTACGAAAACAAAGAAGGGCCCATCACTTGAAGCTGGAAAAAGATGTGACTGTCAGGAGTGTACTTATTATAAAACAGCATTACACCCCACATAGTGGCAGTAGGCTGTTCAGATACCTTGAATTGAATAAGAATATCTCTAAAAGCCACTCATAGTACTCATCAAATACAAGGTATCAAATATATTTCTATTGAAAATAAAAACAGAACAATAGACAGTAAATTGATAACCAGAGAATCAAGAACTGTTCCTGTGCAAGAATGGTGTGGGATTCCTATACTGCACATTAAAGTTGTTGAAAAAAATTATATTACTAAAAAAAAAGTCTAGACCTTAAAAATAACTATTTGTCTGAGTTTTCTGTTTTTAACAATGAAAATTTATGAGCAAACAAGTCAACAAATATAATAATAATATCCTAGAGCTTCTAAGAATGTTCATCACAAGCAAAACCAAACTTTAAAGACAGAATCGACAACTGGAAGTGTTAGATTATTGATTCAAATACTGTCTTGGTACAATTATTTATCAAAACATGCTACAGAGGGCAATATATGACATCATTTCCAACACAACTGTTTTTGGTGAGTAATCTCTAGAAAGGAATTTACTTGCCAAATAGGGCCCATGAGAAACTGAAATAGAGTAGAGAAAAAAAGCTTTGAGACCTAGATTGAGAAGCTAGAAAGAGCTTCCATATGAAAACGGAAGACAGAAAGAGGAATGAGGGCCTGTCCAAAACCAAAAGGTCTATCAACCAACATCTCTGAGGGTCATCCTTCCTCTGTATTCTGAGCATAGGAGCTTCCTTCTCAGGTAGAATCACAGCAGAGAGCCCTTCCTCAGCTTTCCTTTTCCTTTTCAAATAAAAGTTACACAAAATGATGCAACAAATATCATTTATTTTAGAATAGAAAATGAGACTATCCTTAAAAGCGAATAATGGATCATCTGCAGGCACATAACCAAAGACTGGGTAAAGAATTAATACAGTGCCATTAAAGAGTCTACGATCAAGTGGAATTCATGTGGACTTGCATTTGAAAAATCCATGTAAACTAATATACACGTGTTTACAAATGGCGTAAGATACTTTGAAAGGACTACGCTATGCTTATGCAATACATCTTAACATGCCTCTGGTATCTCTAAAAACACTAGAGAACGTCCCCTTTTTAAAGAAATCTTGGCACTTACTTTAGATTATTATGATTAGAATTTTTTCAACTCAAATGAAATATGAATAGAGATTATTTCTAATGAATGGAATTATGGGTGGTTTTTATTTTCTTCATTTTGCTTATCTACATTTAAATTTTTTACATGAACATATATTTCTGCTACAATAAGAAAAAATGTTTTTGCTTTAATAAAATGACAACAAAATGGGGACTAAGGTATTACTTGGTTCAGGGGCAGTTCTCTAATCCATACGCTATGGAACCTGTATTATCTATATCTTCATCAAAAGAAAAATATAGCTCAGCTGACATGGCTCAGCAGTTGAGCATTGACCTAGGATCCAGAGGATAGAGGTTCAATTCCCGGTCAGGGCACAGGCCCGGGTTGCAGGCTTGATTCCCTGTGGGGGGCGTGCAGGGGGCAGCCGATCAATGATTCTCTCTCATCATTGATGTTTTTTTCTCTCTCTCTCCCTCTCCTTTCCTCTCTCTGAAATCAACAAAAAAACATATTTTTTAAAAAAAATTTTTAAGAAGAAAAATACTCTCTTACACAAATAAAATTAGAAAAATTCTGAGTTTGTCAAAAGTTTCTGACAAAGGCTCCTAAAAGTCTTCTGGTAGCTCATCAAGTCTTTTATCTTCTCATTATTAGGTAGTTTGCTAACAAGCCCTGCCAGTCAGTAGCACTGGAAACATCACTGTGGCCAACAGGGAGAAAGGGACATCCGCCTTATCTTCACAGGTTGACCAGGTGTAGCATAAGCCTAGCAGGATGCAGCAGGTACATTCAGGTTACTCTTTAACAGTGATTTAAACGGTCGCTTTTCCCCTGGGGTGCCTCCCTCGTTCTTTTTCTCTTCTATTGTCAGCTGCACCATGTTATTTACGGTCCACCGAGGAAATCTGAAGGCCCTCCCTTCTGCCCATTAAATCAGAGCTATTCCTAGCAACTGACAACTATTAACACTGATCCGCTTACAAGCTCACGAGAGAAAGTTGGTGTTGGTGCCACATTTACAATATGTTTCTTCATCTTTTCCCCATTAATGTTTCCTAACTCTGTTATTACTTATTTTTTCATCATCGTTTAATGAGAAGCAATTGGTACAAATTCCCAGGCCGGATGATGTTTAAAGTCTAGTCTGTTGTCTCCTTTCAGGCACTTTATTTTTCTAATGCCCATCACGAAATGCCAGGACAATCAATCCTATCTACTCACCGCACTTTTGGAAAACAAACATGTAGCAACTGTCTGGATATGACACCGCTGTGCTTGCTACCTCACAACGAAGCAGCGTCATTCGCCAGCCAACACCAACAGTGTTGCTAAACCCCCTTCAACCATGATAAAAGCACGGAGTGAATGTAGCCACTTCCCTGAAAGAGCCTTCTGTTGGCCTTGACCGA